GGAATTAAATGAAAATTACTAATCCTTCTCTCTCTCATTATACAGGTATTCCACTAAGACGCCCACATTATTCAGGAACTAAATATCACTTTTCTTTTTCAAGTCACTCTGTGCACAAAAGCAATGTTCATCGCAAAAACCTGATAATTGATCAGTGCGGTCGAGTCACACCGGCAACAAAGGAAAGCGAGAGCACACCAGGCACCTAATGGGGTGTTTACATCTGTGCGGATTTTCTCGCGCTAGTGTACTCGCCAACTAGCACGAATTTCAGTTGCTCCTGAAATTTCATGCTGGTAGACGCTGATGCCCTGTTTACATTATGCTGGTGGGCTTTTTTTGCTAGCAGCTAACTCATTAGCGCTAGTGAAATAGCATAAGTGTAAACACCCCATAAGAAACAGGGCGAACACATCAGCACATACCATTCTAAATCAAATTATCGTGCCTGGAACACAAAACTATTCAAATGCCAGCACAAAGATAGCCCGAGCTCAAAAATAAAAAAAATAAAAGCACGCAGCGGAGCAAAAACACACAACCGTTCTCCAACGCTTCTCAAAGCGGACTGGCCACTGCAATCGACGATCTTTCAAATCCAAAAACTAAAATCTACGAAAAAGCATTTCATATACAGTGCTTTGTTAGCTCCTTCTCAAATTTTAGGCTGACAAAAACGGGAAACTGACAAAATCGGGAAAAAATTTCTCAATGTTTTTTTGATTTAAATTATTACAGAATAATGTAATTCTTATAGGGTACGGGGTGCTATGGGATAATATGACCAACAGCGCTTATTTACGTGTTTTGTAAAACAAATTTAATGGAGCTCTACTCATAATGACTAGAAGAGCTGCAGAACAGTCATCTGGGAAATTGTTTATATCAATTAACGTTTTAATACTACGAGAAAAAAAACACTGTTGGTCATATAACACCGGGGTGTGTTTACCCCACCTTGTCCTACATATGGCTATTATTTGTAAAAACTCTCCTAAAGCATCAAATAATTAAAATTAATGAATCAATTTTCTTTTGACGATAATGAAATATATATCAATTTTAAAAGCAGAGAAAAGGGGGGAAGGGGGGGGGGGTGGTTAACAAACCAGACCTGCATTGAAGTTGGCACGGAGTGGTATCCCCTAGTTGCCTAGTGCAGCTCCACTAAAGCCCATTCCTTACTCTTTCCTCTGCCTGGATCCCCCCCGGAACCACGCTGAAGTGACTACTTCGAGGGGGCTGTGCTCATGCTCTTCTCATACTCTCAGTGCTAGTTGGCGTTGCTAGATCGCTGCTCCTCTCTCCATCCCAAGTGCCTTCCTCTGGGCACATTTAATCGACGACATTCTCCTCGTTAAGGACAGGCATCTCTTTTCGCACTGTCTCGCACCTTCGACAGTCGAAGACCACATGCTAAGGCGTTTCATCCACGTTGCGCCTCTTGATATTTCTGGGAATAGAGTTGTTCAGCATGATTCTAGCTATTGTGTTGATGGCCTTCGAAGCATTCTCACAGACATATTCGACGGTATTCCCAGGTGTTTCCCACGCGCTTCGAGGCAAAGGCGTGCGTTGGACCAAGGATGCAGCCTTGTGAAACTCCCACTGTAATCCTAATCGATCTCTGTCCCATGTCTGTCTCGTAGACCAGAACCAGGTTCTGGAAGTAACTCCTCAGAATCTTGCACAGGTAGTCAGGGACCCACATTCTATGTAGCGCTTTGGCAATGGCTTTCCAGCTGCGCTATTGAACGCATTCGTGACGTCGATCGTTATTACGGCGCAATATCGATCTCCTCTTCGCTTCTGTTTGGACGCCTTCTCGGCTCTCTCGACCATTGTCCGAAATTTCATCCACCGTTGATCTCCCTTTCCGAAATCCAAACTGCCTCTCCGACAATCCATAACAAAAGCTAATAGAGCTGATAAGGTTGAAGCATTGTCCCTTTCAATTGACGATGTTATTTATCTCCGCTGAATTTGAGAATTTGTGATGACGAAATCACTTGAAAATTGAAAGTCAATCAAAACTTTTATGTACAATTCAATAAAATATGTAATGCTCTTTTTTTATTTTCTAAAAATAAATGTTGCTGATAATGAAGCAATTTTTTTAATACAATTGCAAAAAAAAGAACAGGTTTTCCGTGGTAAAATTGATTTTTCCAGCAAACAGCAATTCAAAATAATAATTCCTACACAGCAAAAAAATAATTTTGATATCACATCAAAGTGGATGTACTTCAATCGTGTCGAAATTATGGTGTAATGATGTAATTATGGTATAATAATTGCCAAAAAGGACAAAATTATCAATAAACCAGTGCATGAACTGACGTTACGCTACTTTTATTGCATTTGTTTATTTTTGTGGCCATAAAAATTACACGAGATTGAAGTGCATCTTCTTGGGTGTAATATTAAAATTTAGTTTTTGCTGTGTAATAAGAGTATATTATATTAATGTAAATGAATTAATATGTAAAAGGTACATTGGATGAAAAACCTGTGCGTTGAATAGATTGATATTTGAATGAAAAAGCACTTAAAATTGTCAATTGTTAATTTTACCCCGTATTCAAATTTTACCCCCGCTTCCCCTAACATTCACATAACAGCGAAGTGTAAGAATAACAATTATTCGTAGCATAGAGTTTGATAATTCATGTATAACAACACAAAAATTTAGTGAAATCTGCAGGCTGACAAAATCGGGAAAAAAGTTGACAAAATCGGGGGTAGACAAAATCGGGAAAGCACTGTAGCTACATTAAGTTCCACTTTCACGCGACGTTCAATGTTTCGATTTGCTCTGTACGCATTGTTATATCCTCTTAGGGTTGATGCATATATTATGTCACGCTCTAAGGTGGGAGGGGGGTCTAAGATTTTGTGACAAGCAATGCATTAGGTATAGGAAAAAACGTCACGATAGGGAGGAGGGGGTAATTTTTTGCTAGATTTAGCGTGACATAATTAATGCATGTGCCCTAACATCATAACAAGCTATGACCGATGTGACGATTGCTTAAGCCCTGGTTAAACAAGATATGGAAATGAAATTACGTTCTCTAAATCAGTCAATAATGTAACCCAAATTGGATCAAGCGTGCACCCCAGTTTTTTTTCTAAAAATTCTATATGAAGCGTTCCGCCCGAGATCTATCAGTTATTTTCTACATTGTGGCCTGGGATAAATCGTAATGTCTTTTTCCCACGAGACTATGTTCTTGCACTCGAGTGCACGCTTTACCGACAGTATTGCTTTTCGTATGTTATATTCTAGTTTTACTGATATTTATCCAGATAGTGAGCCAAAATATTTATTTTAAGTGAGCCAAATTTTCCGGGCAAATCCATGAAAATCTCACCGAGTCTAGAAGTCAGGGCTGTCATCTGATTACTCAATGTGCGCAATGTACTAATTTTCTGAAATAAACAAAGTGCGCAAGTGTAAAACAGCGGAGAAGAGAAGACAGACATACACCCAGAAATAACGAAAGCTCAATGTGCAGCCATCGCTCCGACGGCTCCGATGCAAAGAGCGCCACTCAGTGTAGGGTTGCAAATGGGAAACCCAGCAAAAAGACAACATTATTCTTCTTTATGCCCTTCTTCTTCACCTCCTATACATGCAGTCGTGGTAACACAGAACAGATGGGGAAGTGCAAACAAATCGGTGAATCAAAAAGTGCTCGTTTCTCTGCTCAACGAGCGATGTGATGTGGTAGCGTTCCACATGGGCTTTCTATGTGCACTCACACTATCATAGCATGCTGCCTATCTTAACTGCAGGCCGAAGATGCCTTCTACCGCTAGGTGCGCTAGTGTTCGCAAATGACCAGTGGAGCCACTTTCTGATTCGAAGTTCCACTCCTGTGGTGGTAAGCAAAGTTTGCAAAGAACTCAAAGCAGACATTAGCGCTTGTTGTATTATTTTCGCTCCCTGCGTCACACGAAGTGTACCGCTCATTGTGTGAATCGCTTTCTCACAGATTAGTTGGAAAAGAATTCCGTTATTTGTTTTGCTGGATCTTATTGTTGGAAGGAGATTCTCTTATTCCCGCGGGTTTCGCGTAAGTGCCTCTGCTTACGGGCCCGTCCAACCCTTTTTGGCCCTTCATACAGCAGTATGTTGAATTCAGAATGATGACGGAATTTGATCTTGTTGTTGAGTGGAGCCGCATGCAGAACAAGACCTAAGCTAGGATGGTGGCTACTTACATACATACATACATACATACATTTAAGGCCAAAAACAAACAACAACAATACATACTCATTTTGTGTTTGTATTGCATGTACAGTCAACTCTCCAATATTAGATATTCAAGGGACCATCTACTTAGAAATACACGTCAGATTTTTTTTCAAAGATTCAAATTCACTCATATTAGCCACCCAAGCAACACACATTCATCAAAATAGGTTGCTGCAACTTGATTGTGACTGAAATAAGGTGCATACAAGTAACCACAACTGTTAAGTGACAAGTGTGCTACTAGGCACAGGAGTGGAACTTCGAATCAGAAAGTGGCTCCACTGGTCATTTGCGAACACTAGCGCACCTAGCGGTAGAAGGCATCTTCGGCCTGCAGTTAAGATAGGCAGCATGCTATGATAGTGTGAGTGCACATAGAAAGCCCATGTGGAACGCTACCACATCACATCGCTCGTTGAGCAGAGAAACGAGCACTTTTTGATTCACCGATTTGTTTGCACTTCCCCATCTGTTCTGTGTACTAGGGCAAGAACTGAATCGTCTATTCAGATGTGATTTTCAAATGAGACCGGAAAACTTCTCTTTACTTCTCTGGGTATCATTGTGCTTGCCATGGAATTTACAAGACTAATTATTATTGCTCAGAAAGCTTTCAATAACATCCTCAGTATTTCTCAAAGAATATCATTTTGAGGACAGACTTTTCATAGTAATAGACAATAAAAAGAGAGAATAAATAGTTGTGATGTTAAATTCCGAAAAGCTAACAAAAGCATTTCTAAACTAAGCTTTATTCATCCCAGCGCAAATGGTGACGCATCATTTGTCGTCAGGAAGTAAATACCGTTGACACCACGACCAAAGTTGGACGGCTGACCTCCCATGTTGGCATCCGGACCGCTAGGAGTACAAACTCCTGCCAACACCTCGTCATGATTGGCACACCGCGTTGCTCGGAACGGCACCGAAGACCGAAGTGATTCTATATAGAATGTTGGTGCCCGTCCGTGGGCACAACCTCCGGCAACATCAGTTCCACATCCGGGTTGAGTACGTCCTCCGTTGGGGTAGAAGTTTGACTGACCCAACGGCTCATTGATTCCCAACAATCCTGCATTGGTCATTATCGTTTCCACGTAGAGACCATCCTGAGGGGAAACCGCATCATTCTGTCCAGCGGAGAACAGTGGGCCGGCCGGATCCAGAGCAATGATCGAATTAATGTGGCCTCCATGGTGCTTTCCAGCGTTTCCAGCGACGTGGGCTCCCAAACTGAACCCAATCACGTAAATATTGTTCACATTAGCTCCCGTCAGTTCAATCAGTCGATCGATCAACCGCCCAACTCCGAATCCAGCAGGTCCAACGGCATTTCGGGACGTGATGTAGTTCGGATTTACGGCAGCTACACTCCAATCGACGGCGATCATATTGAAATCACCAATGGCGAGCATCTCATCGCGGGTGCGGGTATTCAAACCATCGCCTCCGTTGCCGTTCCATCCGTGGATGGTGAACCGGGTAGGGTGTGCTGGATTGAAGTTTGAACCGGTGATCGAGGCCGGGTTATTGATGTCCAAAATCTGAGCCTGGGTTGGATTGCTTCGAGTAAATAGACGGAATTCGATATCACTCTCCGGGTTGAAAAGAATCTCCGGATCGGAGGGATCTGCTTCTGGCAGGTTGTACGGGTTGATGTTAACCAAGTGTAGGTGACCGTCCGAATTGGGTACCAGCTGCCAGTTGGCCTGATCCAATGGAAAGGCGGCGGCTGAAAGTTGGGGTTTTGAAGAAAATTACTCGAACAAATATTGGTAGAAGTGAAATTACCAACTGCTAAAAGACCTAAAAGTGTTAATTTGTAAACAAACATCATGAAGATTGCGGGTTTGCTACTGAACCAAGCCGTTGGTCAGCAATGAGCTTTTATAGATCAATTAACACATTACAATCATCTATTATCAACCCCCTGGGTGAGTGGGAAACCCGTTTGCGATACAAGATAAGCCATATTATGACGCCTTTTCAAAATCAGCGTTGCTGAATGATAACCAATTTTCTTCGATTTTATTTATGTATTTTATACGTATAAAAAGGGCCGATGCATTCACGTACACACTTAATCTAGCTCGGTAAAATCTCCAACAGCCGATTACCTCGGCATTTACTTTTCCTGATATCTCAGCAAAATGTTATTTGTTAGCTGAGTCTCGGCAATTATTTTACTGAATCTCAGCAAAGCAAATTGCAGAATCACTCGGCTGTTGGAATCTCGGCGAAAACAATTAAGCGTGTAGTCCATTTATAAAAGGCAACGGGCTCACTTTGTCGAGGTACCATATTTGTTTACGTTGAAGCGGATCTCTTGATCGATCGGGAACATCATTTTTCTTAAGGTTAAAACTGCATTCTCTACACGGGAAAAAAAGAGTTCCCATATTCGTGAACCACAGCCGTGGACCATAGTTCACGGTGTATATTTGAGAAAATTTTGTTCTGGATAGTTGGCCGTGATTTTTAGTTCATGGTCCGTTCCCATTTTCGGGAACGGATTTTTTTTTCCGAGTAATTTATCAGAAACTCTTGATCGGATTTATAATACGGTAGAACTTATCAATAAAGTTATTTATACTGTTTGGCCATGTCCATTAGAGTGATGCAAAATTTGAAATTTTCGCTCCACAATACTGAAACGATTCCAAATCGGATCCTGATTAACCTCTCAAAATTTGAACCCATTTGGTGAGAAACTGAGATGGCACAAACCATTTGAAGTTTGTATGGGAATTACTATGGTAAAACCAAGATTTTTGTTCATGTCTATCTAATAATTCACCATATCGGTCTGCTTCAAAAACTTTCAACTTTGCTTACAGTAAATTTTCCCAGCTACGACTTTGCTGAAGATCACTTTTTGATTAAATAGAAGGATCGAAAGTTATAAATGGTTCAATTCGCTGATGTCTTATGATCATGCTCAATCAACGTCTCAGCAGGCAACATTGGTGTTTCTGGGGTGTTGAATAGGACACAAAAATCATGGCTACTATGTCACACTGCAAAATACAGTGTTGCCTACAGAGCAGCTGCTTGATCATGTCATAAGTTTACCAATCTCTTAAATAATTAATAACTTTTTCCTGCCTCGTTTTACATAGAAACGATCTTGAGCAAAGTTGTAGCTGAGAAAATTTTCTATAAGAATGGCTATCGAACTGTTTCGCAGCTCAATATGGAAAAAGACTAGAAGGAAATGAACCAAAAGTTGAGATTTCCCGTAGTAATTAACATGTAAACTTCAAATGGCTTGTGCGAAGTCTGTTTCAAACCAAATGAGTTGTAACTTTGGGAGGATAATCAGGACCCGATTTGAAACCATTTAAGCACTGTGGAGCGAAAAAGTCAAATTTTGCATCAGTCTAATGTCCATATCTTCATGCAAATGTCGTGTAGGCACTATAGACAAGAAAAGATATATTTATAAAAGTATTTGCCAGGTAAAAGTTATAAAATTTATAAGATTTACAAGCGGGCGGTGCTGCAGCTGCGGAGGATTCTGTATCTTGGTGTAGAATGTTTGTCAGATTATTGTCAGAAGTACGCGTATATTTTGAAAGCGAAGAGTGAAAGTGAAAAAAAGTGTATGTAGGAATATGCTTATCTAGATTTATTTAATAAAAAACAAATAGAAAAATCATTAGAAATCAGAGAGATGATTTTATTTTCTGACGAAATGCTCGTGTCTCTTTGTATTGTTTTTGTACAATGTATGAATATTATTTTTGTGGGTATACGAATGTTTCGTACTACTTGCAGTCCTTGGATTTTTTCACACGAATAATTCGTATTTATACTACGAAGTATTCGTTCTCAATACGAAATAAAATCAGTACCAAATGTGACAGTTTAAACGAAACTAGCTTCATACATTGTACGGAATTATTTCGTTGCAGATAACAACGAATATATTCCTAGAATAAACGATTGATTTCGTTGTATAAACTTAATTATATTTTCAGTGTGACTGTTATTTGCCGCTGACATACGGTTTCGAAACCGAAGAGGAACCTTTATTTGAACTAAGATAAAGGGTGATACGGTCAAAATTTGGTCAATATCAACTTGACGTATTTCTTTCAATTTTGCATTTAAAAAACCTGAACACCCCTCATTTTGAAGGTGTGTGTGTGTAGAATGTTGCTCTTATTTTGATTTTGGAATTCACTCTTCAGTTGTCAAAATGCCGTCCAAGCAAGAAGAGCAGCGTATCAAAATTTTGCTCGCGCATCGCGAAAATCCGAGCTACTCGCACGCAAAGTTGGCAAAATCGCTAAAAGTTGCCAAATCAACCGTTACAAATGTAATTAAAGTGTTTGGGGAACGTTTGTCGACAGCCAGGAAGTCTGGATCGGGGGGAAATCGAAAACCGGAAGCCGCTGAGACGACAAAGAGAGTTGCCGGTAGTTTCAAGCGAAACCCTAACCTCTCTCTCCGAGATGCCGCATATAAGCTGGATGTATCGTCTACAACCGTGCATCGAGCCAAAAAACGAGCCGGACTATCGACTTACAAGAAGGTAGTGACTCCAAATCGCGATGATAAACAAAATACGACGGCCAAAGCGCGATCCCGGAGGCTGTACACGACGATGCTGACGAAGTTTGACTGCGTGGTAATGGACGACGAAACCTACGTCAAAGCCGACTACAAGCAGCTTCCGCGACAGGAGTTTTATACGGCAAAAGGAAGGGGAAAGGTAGCAGATGTTTTCAAGCACATGAAACTGTCAAAGTTCGCAAAGAAATATCTGGTTTGGCAAGCCATCTGTACCTGTGGCTTGAAAAGCAGCATTTTCATAGCTTCCGGGACTGTCAACCAAGAAATTTACGTGAAAGAGTGTTTGAATAAACGTCTGCTGCCTTTCCTGAAGAAACACGGTTGTTCCGTACTGTTTTGGCCGGATTTGGCATCTTGCCATTACGGTAAAAAGGCCATGGAGTGGTACGCCACCAACAACGTGCAGGTGGTTCCCAAGGACAAGAACCCTCCCAACACGCCAGAGCTCCGCCCAATTGAGAAATACTGGGCTATTGTCAAGCGGAACCTAAAGAAGACCAAAAAAACTGCTAAGGGCGAGCAGCAGTTCAAGGCAAACTGGCTTTCTGCGGCGAAGAAGGTGGACAAGGTGGCTGTACAAAATCTGATGGCAGGGGTCAAGCGTAAGGCCCGGCAATTCGGATTTGGAAAAGCGGAAGCCTAACTGAATATTTTTCCTGAATTTTATACTAATTGAACTTGAAAAAGAAATTTAATTTGATTTTTTAAATAAACGATTTCTCCGATTTACACGCGTTTTCTTGACCAAATTTTGACTGATTCACCCTTTATTCCATTGTTCGTCGTATTCGTGTCAAGACATTGCATGTTGCTGGACCTGATACTTCGCTACCTACACTCGGATCTTGCAATCGACTGCCGCCGATTATCTGTTATCCCAAGCCGGAGGATCACTACATTTGGGCACCCCAAACTGGTTCTACATAGAACGGGACTAGTTTATGTTGATCCCCATCAAGCGAACCGTCTTTGATTGGAACTACAATGCAACAATAGCACGGATGCTTCCTGTGGATTCATTTGGACTAAATTAGTGAGATCTAGAGTCGGTGTATAATGAGTCACGCCAAGAGAAAAACAGTTGAACTCGCATCACGGTTTTTCGAAAGATTCCCTTTCTTTTAACTTGGCAACAGAGGACTTCTGCACCAACTTCAAATGACTTCTAGCGAGGAAAAAAAATTAACGGCTGTAGTGAATCATTATATCAGTGATTTTGTCGAATTATCTTAAGGAAAAATAGTAGAAATTGTCATTACTGATCATTACAAAACGTATCGCATGACAAATGTAATGCTCACTGCGTGTATATGATAATTTCTTCGGTTATATTTAATATTTAATTGCAATACCTTTCGTGGACCTTTCATAGCATCGGTATGCTTGTTTACTTTGCACGATAGGTAGCCGGTTTGTCAGTTCAATAGGTAGACTTGGCTTCACTCTTGGCGTGACTCATTATACACCGACTCTAGTGAGATCGTATCTAATTTTATCTAAATTTACAAAATTCTCTTAAATTTGACAGATTCTTAATGGAGTTGCATGCTTCCCATTTTTCGTGGCTTTGAAATCATCACTGAACGCCAAATGGATTGTCTGCACATTTTTGAACATGTGGTGGAAATTACTGTAAATCATATATGTTAGGGGGGGGTCAGCCTAAGGGAATCAAAGGATTTGATGACTGGACGAGGGTTCGTGGATTTGCCAGTCCGTTGTCACGTGATTACAGATGGCAATCTGGTCGTTTTGTCTTCAAAGGTCTTCAAATAAGCTGATTCACCCTGCTGCAACAAACTATCAGGCAGAACTTTACAACCGGTAAAGTATCTGCAGACATTGGTAACCCTTGCACTGATGGTGAGTTCCATTTATATCACATCACATCATATATTATTCAAACATATATTATTCAAACTTCAAATCTCCGCGTACATCGTACGGGTTAGGCAAAGAGTGTGCGTTTGACTTGCACTGTCGCATTAATGGCCCTTCGCTCATTTTCAACTTCTATTCAATTTTCATACTGCCGTACTCCAATGGAACTATCTACCTACCCTCTTCTTATACCATTCTCTAGCTAATAAATTATCACACTAAAGCTTCATGTTAGATAGCATTTCCAACCAACTCTGAACTTTTCTTATATAAACATATAAATAACATAGCATTTTATAAAATTAGGCACACGTTTATTTAATACGCAATTTTCCACCGAGTTCATTAAGAAATATCAAATCAACCACTATTACCTTGCACTTCAGCCGATAAGCGCTGAATCATTTTCTCAGTGAAGTTTATCCAAAGGTATCTCTCTTTCATGAAATTTAAATTTAAATTTTCAATTTAATTTAAATGAACTTCAGAATTCAACAGGCATTGTGACTACTTTTCCGAGTCACAAGGAGGCACAAGGAATCAAAAATATCTCCAAATGACAAAATGATAAGCGTTCAACGAACCGAATGATAACGCTATGTCAGAAGTAGAAAGCAATAATGATATAATCTTCTTCCTTTTTTTCATGACAAGCAGCCCGTGCGACAGAGCTCACTCAGAAGGTAGAAGGAAACGAGCAAATTGTTGGCAAGCTGCTTCACGAAGTAAAGCTGAACATGATACACGTTAATGGGAATTTTTTGTTATGTCTTTTCTCGATTCAGATCAAGCTATGTCCTCATCCGTGTATATTGCAACAAAGCAGGCAAGCAATATATAATTATCCTTCTACCACTCCGATCGAGCTATGTTACAGAGCGAGTTTGTCATGGTAGTCGTAGCAACCGTTTTGTCTGTATCGTTGGTTGCTATATATGTTTGGATTCGCTGACAAGGCATAAAAAGTAACAAGGACTAAAATGTGTTCCTTTGATTACAGAAAAATCCGGTTCCCCTAGTTTGAAGTTGTCAGGACTAGGGTTCGTAGGTAGATCTTATACCAGTAACGCACCACGAAAAGATGATCTACCAGCGTTATATTGTTTTTCTGAAAATAATATGTTTCAAAGAATAAGAGTTACAATACATAAGCATATCAAATAAATAATCAACAATTGGTTTACCATGGCTTAAAGTATCATAACAAAGTTTATCAAACCTAACCAAATTAGTTTATTAAAACTATTATATTTAGCTACTTACTGTATATATATATATATATATATATATATATATATATATATATATATGGTATAAAGACTGATGCATAATGCAATAATTTATTAAAATTTCCAGCCTACACCTTGAATATTCAAATATAACCTTATATCAATTGATAATTTGATCTAGATATAAATAATTTTACGTTTACATCCATTGCATGACCGTCTTAAATGGTTATTTTTTATTTTCGTATATATATATACATGTCTTTACTAATCATAAACGGTGGGATCTTCTTTCCATTTATTGGGGCGTCCCATTTTTCCAATAAAATCAAATTTTGGAAGCGCTTGAAGGAAATTGACGGGCTGGTTGAAAATGGCCAACTAATTAGCACATTTATAATTCGAAATTTCCGAAGTGTTATACCTAGTTTTAAGATTTTCAACCATATTGCCAATAAAGAAAGTTATTTACGATACTGTCAAAAAATTCCGAAATAATAGACTTCGGAAATTTCGAATTATAAATGTGCTAATTAGTTGGTCAATTTCAACCAGCCTGTCAATTTTTGACAAGCACTTCCAATAATTTAATATTAGGTACACGCAAAATTCAGCATGTTTGTAGTTCTGTGTAAAAAAATTTCAGCTCAATTGATCATAACAAAACATAGTTGCAACATAACAAAGTTGGCTAGTTTGTATGAAAATCGGCCTCTAGACATGTGCACGGGTGAACTTTAGTTCATCTACTGAATTTTTTTTGACAAAACAGCGGGGCCCTGTTTACTAAAAATGAACACATGAATAATGCTCGCGTAACATTTGAAAAGGACCTATCATCTTTTGTAAATAATTTGCTAGGTCCTTTTCACGAGAACCGAAGTACGCCCACGCAAACCAAGAGCACTATCGGGAAGGGGAGAATTTCCTCTGCCCTATGGTGTTGTTAGTTTGCGGTTCGCGCGAAAAAGTGTTAACAAGTTTTGCGTACATAAGTTGATAGACCCGTTGCAAATGTTACGTGAGTATTATTCATGTGTTCATTTTTAGTAAACAGGGCCCCGCTGTTGTGTCACTTTTTGTCGAGTGAGTGAACTCAAATCCATCCGTGCACTCGTCTATTGTGCTTATTTAAAGGCCACCACTGTACATGTACATATATTGCTGTCAACGAGGTTTATTCTGTAGAGATGTGCGTCTAGCGAGTAGTGGTTGGACATAAGTCTTGACATCACGCGAATGAATCCCAGACTTACATCCACACCTTTGAACCACGCTCTCGAAGAAACATTTGGTGTAATCGAATGTAACCACCGCCCAAGAGAGTTACTTGTCCAACTTGTCGTTTTGCCAACTTAAAAGTGAACTCTGACGTACTAATGGGAAAAATTCATCATGTGAAATTCTTCTATCATAAATTTCGCCTTGTTGTGCACCCACCTTTGTGTGAGAGTCTGCCTTTCCATTGAATAGACTTCTCTGACGTTTATGAATTGCACAAGTATTAGTGCAGAACTTTGGGTGAATTCAAAGGTTTTCTTGCACTAATACTTATAATTTACCACAAGTTCTGCACTAATACTTGTGCATTTCACAAACGTCAGAGAAGTCTATGGGATTGAGCAATAGACTTCTCTGACGTTTGTGTATTGCACAAGTATTAGTACAGAACTTTGGGTAAAATCAAAAATTTCTTTGCACTAATACCTATAATTTACTCAAAGCTCTGCAGTAATACTTGTGCATTTTACAAACGTCAGAGAAGACTTTGCGAGGGGACCCATACAAAGGTAATCATATATGATCTTTCGACCAGCAAACTCATCTGTTCCCTATCTTTGAAAGGAAATAAGATGAGTGCCTACCTTGTTTTATCGACCGAATAGCCTCAATCGAACTGAGACTATGCGAGAAGATGAATGAAGATGGTCTGTACGGGCATGTCGAAAATCATCCCCAACACGACGTTGATTGCTGCTAGCTCAGGAACATAAACGGAACAAGGTTCCTGAAGTTTCCGGGAGGCGATTGAGTATTCATTGAAGACACCGAAGCCAGTGGATCCATCAATGCGTGATCCATTAGTGAGAAATCTTCTATTGCAATTGACTTGTTGGTACTTTTCAGCAAAAATACGGGGATTCACACATTTCTGGAGTCCTTTTTGATTGTGTCGTATGTTACAAATGTAAGCAAATTGACATTTTAATGCTACCAGCCACTACTCTGCTTACTCTTCCTTGAGGCAAAATTTAGATCCACTACTTTATTTCTGTTTCAATTGCTAATAAGAAAACTATTTGTCGTATGTGCCAACCGATCAAAACATAGCTAACCTAAATTCTATGGAGATGTCAATCATCGTATGTAACAAATTTGACAGAAGCGTAAAAACTGTACATACGACCTGTTGTTTTCCCTAATAATAGTGCAAATTTTGCAAATCTTCAATGTAAAACGGTTATGGATAGTCCACAAAATTATAACTACGCTTTTCGTGAGATATTACTAATTGTAATACTTTTTTAAACCGCTAAAATGCTCACGGTCTAATGTAACACCACGGCATGCAAAAGGTCGTATAATATTGGTTGGTTAAAAAACGTTTATTTTTTAACATGAACGATATCAATACCATAGAGGTAACTCTAAGACCACTGGGTCCCGAAGAAAATCATTATTATTTTTGGCTCACTCAGTACCAGAACAACGGTCCCAAGCAGTCCCAAGCTATTTCACTCACCCCTGCATGTTCTGCATGAATCCACACACCCCTGATGTTATCTGTCAAACTTTCATAGCGAATCAAAACAAACATAGTGTAGTAATAGAATTTCAACTAGAATAGGGTACGTTAATCGTTTGCTTGGGACCAATAGGCTACTAAAGTGGTGACCCAATTTAAAATCGTTAGTTTCGTATTGATTGTTGTCAATACCTTACTCAGTCGATAGAAGCACTGCTGAGATATTAGTAAATTGGAATTTGGAATGAATTATCTATTATCTATTATCTATTTCATTGAAAATAGAAACCATGTTTTGTTCACCAAAACAAAACACCACGTTTCTCTAATTGACACAAATGGTACACACGACCCTATCAAAATGGACTCCAGATTTCAGATTTCAAACTTTTGGCCAACTTTTTGGATGAAATACTCCTATGTGCGGCAGTGGCGACTGTACTTCTGGTGATTCCACATTTACTCCGTTGCTGTTACGACACGTCATGACTTACTTCCCAAAAGATCTCGTGTGACTCAAATTGTCGCTTCAATAGCGATCCACACAATCCGATGTCGGCAGGGAAATATTGAATATTCGAATAGATGATTACTCTCTTTTTAATTTAAACAGGAAAAGCCCACCATTGCCAATTGTTCAAACATTATATGACAGGTTGAGCAACATGCAGTTCAAAGCAACCGTATAAGAACTTCCGAACGGTAAAGAATTAAATTCAGTAGCGTTACAACGATGAAGAGATCTCGAACTTTGTTACCCATCGTCTTCGTTCTGTTCCAGGCAGCAGGAAAAAGTTCAGCTTGCCAGCAAACGCCCACGTCAGTCTCTGGTTTCAAAGCCCCTCGCGGTAAGCGCATAACTAATTATAATTTATCGAAAACAAACATCAATCTATTTGCTTACTGTAGGTCGCATTTGCTCCGGACAATTGATATTCGAAGATAACTTCAATTGGTTGGACAGATCCGTCTGGGAACATGAAAACTCACTAGGTGGTGGAGGCGTGAGTTCGATAAAATAAACCTCCAAAGCTTCTGTATTTCTTTATAAAAAATATATTTGTTTTAGAATAACGAATTCCAATGGTACTCTGGTTCAGGTCGCAATTCCTACATAAAGGATAAACATCTGTACCTCCGTCCCACGTTGACGTCAATTGAATACGGAGAAGAGTTTTTGAAAAGTGGAGTTATCAATCTCAATGAAGGACCCCGGGATCAGAGGTAATTCCATATTTTTTGATGATCGCAGGAACTAGATGTCCATCAATTGCAGATGCACGGACGCTCCCGGCTGGGCAGAGGTAATAAACGGTTGCTATCGACGAGGCAGTCCAGATCGCATCCTGAACCCGGTTAAAAGTGCGCGTCTTCGGACGGTGAATTCGTTCGCTTTCAAATATGGGAAGTTGGAGATTAATGCCAAGCTACCGCTGGGTGACTGGATATGGCCCGCCTTATGGTTGCTTCCGAAAGGGGATACCTACGGGTATTGGCCTAAATCGGGTGAAATAGATCTCATGGAGTCACGAGGAAATCGTAATCTCATGCAAAACAACGAGAACATTGGCGTTAAGAAAGTGTCTTCGTGTCTACATTTTGGAGACAGTCCAAATCTCCGCAGTTCCCAGTGTGGATCAACAAGCGGAGATCGCTTCGGTACGACGTTCAACAGATATCAACTAACCTGGACGAAGAATGTTATTCAGTTCGGAATCAACGATAGGATTTATCGCACCATCACTCCATACGAGGGCTTCTGGAAGCTTGGTGGATTCAATTTCAACCCTTGGCCTCAGGGAAGCAAGATGGCGCCATTCGATCGCGAGTTTTACGTAGTCATGAACGTAGCAGTTGGTGGTGATTACTTTCCTGATAATACATGGAATCCGCAAGCGAAGCCATGGCGCCAAGGTGCTCCAAGTGCGATGACCGACTTCTATAAATCAAGATCCAATTGGTACAGCACGTGGGGTGAAGATGCTGCCTTACAAGTCGATTATGTAAGAGTTTGGGCCGCTTAGACGAATAAACAACAAAACGGTAGACGAAACTCGATTAATTATCATTGCCGTCAAATTAAACTACCTTATCATGTCTCAAACGGTTTTCCAATTATAGCTTATCTTATTTTAATGTGTTAATTGATGTATAAAAGCACATTACGCGGTCGATTAGCTTCAGTAGAAATCCCGCAGCTTTCACAATGCTTGCTCGCAAATTGACCTTTCTAGGACTTTTAGCAGTTGGTAATATCTCTTTCCCTACTATTAGCATATGCAATTCTTACCAAATTCAAAATTTCAGTTTCTGCCTTTCCGGTGGACCAGGCCAACTGGCAGCTGGTACCCAGTTCGGATGGTCATCTACACTTGGTTAACATCAACCCGTACAACCTTCCGGAAGCAGATGCCTCCGAACCAGAACTTCACTTCAATCCTGAAAGTGATATCCTGTTCCGTCTATTTACCCGAGGCAATCCAACCCAGGCTCAGTTTTTGAACATTAACAACCCGGCTTCGATCACTGGGTCAAACTTCAATCCTGCGCATCCTACTCGATTCACCATCCACGGATGGAACAACGATGGAAGTCATTGGATGAACAGCGGAATCCGCGATGAGCTGCTTGCTATCGGTGATTTCAATGTCATCACCGTCGATTGGGGTGTGGCTGCGAATAACCCAAACTACATCAGTGCTCGTAATGCCGTCGGACCTGCTGGGTTCGGTGTTGGTCGATTGATTGACCGACTAATCGAAACGACGGGAGTTAGTGTTAACAATATCAACGTAATTGGGTTCAGTTTGGGAGCCCATGTTGCTGGAAATGCCGGGAAGCATCACGGAGGTAGCATCAATTCGATCATTGCTCTGGATCCGGCCGGCCCACTGTTCTCCGCTGGACAAGCTGATGCAGTGTCACCGCAGGATGGTCTCTACGTGGAAACGATAATGACCAATGCAGGATTGTTGGGTATCAATGTACCGTTGGGTCAAGCAAACTTCTACCCCAACGGAGGGCGAACACAACCCGGATGTGGAATTGACATTAGTGGTGGTTGTGCTCATGACCGTGCTCCTGAGTTCTTCATGGAATCTCTTCGGTCTTCGGTGCCGTTCCAAGCGACACGGTGCGCCAGTCATAATGAAATTTTGAACGGAGTTTGCACACCCAGTGGTCCGAATGCCAACATGGGAGGCCAGCCGTCCAACTTTGGCCGTGGGGTCAACGGCATTTACTTCCTGACGACAAATAATGCATCACCATTTGCGCGGGGTTAAATTAAGATAAGTTTTTGAAAATTCGGTGTTCAGTTCAGAAAAGATTCGTCTTAAGGGGGGCTTACGCCTACACCTAAGGACCACCCACATTAGATCTGGATCTGACGCGTTGCGGCAAATTGACAGCTAAACCTGCCACACAGCGGTTGGAGAAGTACCAAACAGCGGCATACATTAATAAATTCTCGCCCTAAGGCCGTTCGCAATGTTGTTGTATTTTATGTATTATATTTGCACCCCTCGTAATGCTGAGTTGCAGTTTCATTATTCAAGTACTAGTCTGCACCATATTTGCAACTGCTCGACTATTCTGTTTTATTTATGAGCGGTTTGAAACACGAATGGAACTCTCCCAAGCAACACACAAGTTCTATAGCAGGTCATAGACCCTTTGTACGACAGGTTTTGGTTGTAAGTAAGTTTACTCAATATAATTCTATGAATTGGTGTTACTTGGGCTGTTTCAAATTTCTATGGATGTATTTGTAGAGCTTAAATCTGACGAATGGCAGACGGCCAAGGGAAAACGACGAAATCTTATTCTATTATTGTTCGGAGTCGACAAATTGATCGAGCAAATAAATTTACTTTACATTATAGACATCTCTCAAGAAACCAGATGACTCCTAATTTTTCCATAGATCTTCAGGTGATTGAAGATCTACAAAAACTTCTCTTGATTTTGTTTCAATACCTCTGCTTGATATAATATTTTGAAGATCTTCTATTGTGCAATAATTTAAATCGCGTCTCTCAGATATTCTCTTATGATGCCATGTTGCTCAGAAATTATTCCAATGGCCATCAGGTGATCAGAGATCTTCAGTAAAACATCAGGATATTTTTTCATGCCTTCAAATTAAATAGGTACTATTCTGAAGGTATCCAACAACTCAAATTGCGTATCTCAGATATTCTCTTAAACCATGGCCTACTTAGTTATGGAACAAACTCGACGTTTTCGGAAGCTTTTGACGTCTATTTGCTGACAACAACAATAAAAATAACAGTGTATTTTTTCAGTTCATAAGCGTGACTGCTTTCTCACCCAAATGAGTCTGGGTTCAATCCCAGCTGAGGTCGGTGGGATTTTTCTGAGGCATACAAATCTCTGGTCACGTCTTCCATCGGAAGGAAAGTAAAGCCGTTGGTTCCGGCCCATGTGTGTTTGAATGGGTACGATATCCTACGCAGGTGTGGAAGCTGCCTTCCTGCACATTCGATTGCCGTCAATGGACGGGAATCGATGTCCGTCGGTGATTGGCACTAGATTGCGAAACAGAGACCGACGTTTTTTTTTTTTTCCTTTGGTTTGTTTTTTCCGTCGATCTTGTTTTCCGTGCTGAGCACCAATGCTACCGACGTGCCAGGAAGGCAGCTCCCACACCTGGACCCTACCTATCGACCCATCAACTCATGAACCGGGGACCAACGGCTTTACTTCCCATCCGAAGGAAGGCGTGATCAGAGATGTTATGCCTCAGAACATCCCGGCGGCGCCGACTGGGATTGAACCCAGGCCTGCTGGGGTGAGAGGTAATCACGCTTACCACTACACCACCGGCACCGTTAAAGAGACCGACGTTAAATAAAGGAAAGAAGAAGAAGAAGAAGAAGGAAAAGAAGAAGAAGAAGATCATAAAACGATCTTATTTTGGAGACAGTAACCATGCAAGAGGAACGTAGAAAAAGTAGAAGGGTCTGTGCCTAAGGGCACGAACAGAAGCTTGACGTAGGACCGCTAGTGGACGGAATAAATGTGAAGAGCATTTAGTTCTTTTAATTGATCAATTATCTATTATCGCAACTCTTTCCGTTTTTGAATTGTAGGAGTACCAAATGTGTAGTAATTTTTTTCAAAGAGAAAGTTGATTAAGAGAATCAATCAAAATCACTTGCACCCCTGCTTCCAAGTTTGGTTACAAGATTACAACTCTGGAGATCATTTTGTGTGGTCGTTGGGGGCTTGTGGTTCTGAATATGGACAAACAAGCACAGATAAAATTCCATTCCAACTCTTTACTGATGTAAGCTTGATGGCCCTGAAAAGGGCCGTTTTATTGAAGAGGACATCCATGGCCACTTACGCTTGGCTTGTTTAGGCTAGGTGACAGCATCACGGACCTCATTTTCCAGGAACATCTTCAGCACACCTCGTAGATCAGACCGGAGATACGTTTGACACCACCACGGCGAGCCAGACGACCGATGGCAGTTATCTCGAAGAACTTTGCGATGACGCTTGGCGCCTCCTTTGCCACGACCAGTCAATTGTTGTTTGTTAGGTGTGAAGGAGTGGACTAGCCACCACCTTCCAACTGCTGCTATTGCTGTTCACCACGCCGTCCGAAGCAAAAATGAGCTAATGCCATACAGCCGCGCTCTTTTATATCTTTTCAGGTTAAAGCAGAATGATGTGCAACCAAGTGGTTTAAAAGCTACAAAGACTCCTCCCATTATGAGAAGTTTGCTATCAAGTAGCGACACTGGCTCTTTTCCTTTTGCGGACGGCGGATGAGAACGACCCAAATTTGAGTTTAGTTCACTCATAATCGCCAAAAGTGCAGGAACTCAGCGATGAGTAAACTTGTCTCATGGTTTCCTGTGGAAAACTTAAAAAATCTGCTCATCGCTGAGTTCCTGCACTTTATTTCTTATTTCTGAGATAAATAAACTCAAATTTGGGTCGTTCTCATTCGCCGTGAAATCACCTTGAAAGATATCGGCGCCGGTGGTTAGCGTGATTACCTCTCACCTCAGCAGGCCTGGGTCCAATCTCAGTCGGCACCACCGGCATGTTCTAAGGCATAACATCTCTGATCACGCCTTCCTTCGGGAAGTAAAGCCGTTGGTCCCCGGTTGAGTTGATGGGTCGATTGGTAGGATCCAGGTGTGGGAGCTGCCTCCCTGGCGTCGGTAGCATTGGTGCTCAGTACGGGAAACAAATATCGCGTCACTTTTAAATAGGTCATATCTACATTGATCGATTCTCTTCATCGACACTCTCTTTCGTAAATAACTCGGCTTCACAAATGTTTCCTGCCGTCTTCGTCGAATTAGATGCTAGATTGTTGCTTCTTCCATCGAAAATATCCGGCCGTGGCGATTCAAAGATGATCACGGTTGATCAAAATAATTTGTACCTCTGCTTCCAGTTTGATTACATGAGCATTTTGTGTGATCGTTGGTTCTGAATATGGACAAACAGGCAGATGAATTCTATTTCTACTCTTTACTGTAATAAGCTTGGTGGCCCTGAAAAGAGCCGTTTTGTTGCCAAAATTGGTGATGTTTTAACCTCCGAAACCAAACAGAGTGCGTCTCTGTCACTTCAAAACGTAGATGACATTCCCATGGCCGCTTACGCTTGGCGTGTTTAGTGTAGGTGACGGATCTCATTTTTCACGGCGAGCCAGATGACGGATGGTGGTTATCTCGAAGAATTTGCGTTTGGTTCTGAATATGGCGATGAGTGTGCAAAATATTATGCAATTCCATCCTCCATATTCGCACGCGCTCGAGGATCGGAGGCGAATGCCACTTCGACTTGTTTCGTCTACTTACTACTCTCTGACGACTGTGCTGGGGAAGCAGCATATGCATGTAGGTAATTGGTGGATTTGTTAGTTAATTCGACGGTTTTGGACAATGCTGGACATTGACCAGTTTTTCAATAGTTTCTTGTAGAAAATCAAAATTCGAAAGCATTGTTATCGATGCGTAGCCGTATTTCTGATCGATTGGTGATAAAATTATTGAAATTGGACCAGGGGCAGCTGAGTTATTAACGTTCAAAATCTTTCTTAATTTGTTACATGTTCCATTTTTGGTTTTCACAAAGTGTACCCCCATATAGAAATCAAAGACGTAGTCCTACGTCAAAAAACAAAATCGACCATGTTACCAAGAGTGGTCAGGTTTTGACCACTTATAACTCTGTCAATAGCGGATGGATTTTAATACTGAACAAGCCAATCGATTGGTAATTTTTCTTCAAAGCTGCTAAATTGAATACTTCATCAATTTTCAATAGGTCACTATTGAAAATTACACAACTGTCCAACTGTTGAAATGGTTATCAAAATTATCATCGATTGCCTGCAAAAAGTGGTTTCCCTAACATAGTCGCCAAATATTGATACCGAGCACGTAATCCTACGTCAGATCTACGGTCGAGTCTTGGATACAACCTCTTACTTTTTTCTTAAAATACCGTATGCGTGATAATATTTGCACCATTGAGCAATGTCAAAATTTAAAAAAAATTCTCAAAAAATTCGTTTTTGGGTTTTTGTCTTATTTATTTAAAGGGGAGATGTTTCTCAGTTTTAAACTATGTTAATCATCGATCGAGTTTCCACTTGCTGCAATTACGGCCTCCACACGCTTCCGGAATGCACGGCAGGTTTTAATAATGTAATCTGGATCCATTTCTCTCCAGGTACGGGTCAATGTTTGTCTGAGGCTTGCTTGTACTCGGGTGGCGTTTATCCTTCCACATATCCTTCGCCCAGAACGGAAGATGTTCCTGCAACCACTTCTGAGTGCGGTTTGAGGTGTGACACGGACCGTACTGTTCTTTGATCCACGGAAGAACATACTTACTTAAAATCCCGATGTTGACCTCCGTGTTGACCTTGTCGCCTTCTGGAATGAACACCGGGTCCATTTTTTGCCATCGGAAGCCACCAATCCAAACACCATAACGCTAGCAGGATGTTTGGTCAGATACACGTTCTTGTGCTCGTGGGCCACGTCTTTTACCGGAAGAGAACTAATATACCGGTCGGTTCTGGAATTTGATACGGGATCGACGGTAAACATGCTCTCGTCGGTGAACCGGATTACCGGATTTTTTCGCTTAAGGAAGTTAAAGATTTTCTTGCATCGTTCGACTCGTAGCTCCCGGATGCGGTTGGTAATCATGTGAGTTTTTTTGTCCGTGCCCTCGACTTCGCCCCGCAATCTTCCTTTACGATCTTCTGTGCCGTAAAGTCACTGATCCCGTGTTCCTTTGCCATT